TATAAGAAATACAAAAAATATACGTATAATGATACACTGTACTCTACTGTAATAAAACAAAAGCTGCTTGGTCAATTATTAATAACAATTTAAATTATAGTAAGTATAGATTATTCATCAAGCGGAGTACCTGAATAGGTACCGTTTTTATACAGGTAAATAAAGTCGTAAATAGAGTGCATCAAATGGAAAACTCCAAACCCCTAACAAATATCAATTCTTCCTCTTAGAAATACAATAAAGGCCGCCCAAGATGCTTGCGTTTGCATGTTTTGATTCAAAGCTCGCCGGCCAATTGTTGATTTTGGGCACAGCAAATTTCTTGACGGCTGTTAATATGGTCATTTATTTTTATAAGCTTTTTAAAATCTTTTATTTAACTTGTCTTGTTAGTATTTATTAATTTATTGATTTATTAATTTATTAATTTATTAATTAATTTATTTATTTATTAATTTATTAATTAATTTATTTATTTTTATATACCACCCAACAGAAAATTCCATTTACAGGATGGGTAAATACAGAAAAAATACAATGCATGTAATAACTAAATAACATAATACAAAAAAAGAAGAAAAACAATTAATATTTATACAGATATGCTTAACCTAAATCACCATGAATATAATGCATGTTATATGAAAATTCAACTGTGTTCATTTCGGACTTAATAATAATTTCAAGTTAGGATACAATATTGTATTGTATAAAGATAAGCACTAGAACAAAGGAGTAGTGTCAAGTTACCGAGGACTTCTAGGAAACCTATTGTTTCTCATCAGCATTTGCTGACTTAAGATGAAATGAACTTATAAATAGCCCTTGTTACAAAGCAAAAACACCTTAGTTCGTTGTCGCATCGCTACACAACTTCGTGTCATTAGAATTGTTCATCTTAGTTCACTTTAGAACTCCGTGTTATTTAAATATAAAAATTAAAGTTCAAAAGTTAAAGTAAAAGTCCCAAAGTGTAAAAATAGTGAAATAAAAAAATTGTTTGTTGCGAGAAATAAAGCTCAGTCACGGACGCAACATGCATGTTCACTCAATGATTATTATTAGTTGATACATTTGCAAATAGGTACAAAGATTCTTGATGGTTATTATAGTAACTGCACATTTTATATATAGGAGAGTATTTAATATTTAGTAATACAGCATAAACCTGAATATTGACAATTTCAGTTGTTTAGTGTTGCCTTAAACATCTTTTTTGCAATTACATAATATATAATACAGGAAAAAATTGTTATCAAATGTTTAAAAATGTCAACGGAGGGAACAGTTCACGCATCTTATAAGAATAATAAAAAGTATAAAGCTAACTTAAACTTAAAATAATCGTCAGGAAAAATTTATTTTGAAGAAGAGCAATATGATTCTGAAACTGTGCAATCTACGAATCCCAAATGTTAAAAATATTTTTTTAATAAAAATATGTTATATATTTAAAAGACACTACAAGTTCTTATCACAAGTTCTTATTAACTTGCTTTGCATTCAGATGCTTCTTAAAGAGGTGTTTGTCAGATTTTTAGATATTAACAGAGAATTATAATAATGTCACAAAAAAACTTTCCGTATATTATTTTATAAATGTATGGAATCATTATTTAACTGAAGATTAAAAACATATTTAAAACTAAAATTTGGCTAATATTACTTAAATAAGATTTATGTAACAACTTCCATAGTCTACTACGTCACAAGTTAAATTAAAATTTTTTAAAACCAAATCAAAATTTATATAAGGGGTGTTTAGCAACTTAGCTCAAATTAACTATTATTTTAAATTAGGATAATATTCAGTAATAAAACGTTACACGTTTTGTATGCAAGCACCTCATTCAAACATTTCTTTTGAAATACCTTCTGTAAAAAATATAACCTACTTCACTGGCTCGGTATATTCGAAGAACTCTGGTTCTGACAAAGTTCGTGTTTCACTTTCAAATCCCCGCACATAACACCACGTGGTTTGGTTAACACTTTATTCTTCTTTCCAGTGCTTTGTCGCGACAGCTGATCAAGTTTTTTGGTGTAGTGATTAACAATGAATATAACTGGTGAGTCAACAGATAGTGCCTTTATTAATAATCTAATATTATTATCTATATTATAATCTTAAAAGATGCAAGATTGTCCCATTAGATAAATTTGGTAATTCTACTAGTCGCTCCATATACAGTGTATGTATCTATAAAGTAATGCATAATTCGAGAAAAATATAGGAAATACATATATATATATTACAGACATAGAAATAAAATAAATTATTGTGCAATACATAAGAAATTCTTTCAAATATTCTTAACTTTTTAAAGGGGACGCAATTACCATCCGTGAAATAAATCTTTTGTCTCCCTCCATCCATTTTTTCCTATTGGAAAATGAAGTTTTAAAGCAAAAAAAACATTAATATTGTTCAGAAGTTAATAAAACAAAAGATACAGAAAAGGCTTATACAAATTTTTAAGTGAACTAACTAAACTAAAAGTACAAAATAAATATATTATGGAAATTAATTTTTCATTTGATTTATTATTTTTTCATGGTATAATAATTTTCTAATAAACTGTGGAACATAGTTGTTATTTTGGTTACATAAACTTATTTTCCAGGTAATATACCACTCCAATGTTATTTGAAATACGAAGGTCATTCAAAATCTAGTACCCATTTGTGAACAAAATACGCTCTTATAAAAATNAAAAACTTAAGGATAAACAATAACAGACAGATAAAACAAATAAGCTAACAAACATATACAAGATAAGGATTACATTTACTAGACAAACAATTTTTTTATGTCATTCATACAATGAAAAAATATATCAAGTCGATCTTCATACTTCTGGTAATTGGAAATCATTTGATATAGGGGAGATGCTATTAGTAAGTTGGTACGAGGTGTGGGTAATTGTAAAACGGAGTGAAATCTAGAATTAAGTCTAGGAACATGATATAAAATCCTTGAGACTACCGAGTCTGCATTTAACGTGTTATTTATGATTTTAAAAAGGAAGTATGGGTTAAATCTATCCCCAACCGATTGAGCTGAAATTTTGCATACACGTTTAGTTTGGATAACAATGTATGGTGGCACTAAAAGCTTGTTTTTTAATTTTTTTTTATACATGAACTTATTCAATTTAACTGCTTGGGCCGCCTGGTCTAACTTTGCCTTAAAAACGACACGCACGGGTGAAAATTATTTCCATTTCGGTAGCTAGTAAGGCTTCCTAAGAAGAAGAAGGCTTCCTTTATATGTCCTTACCATTTTGAACCACTAGAAAGTTAAAAAAACTATTTTTAGGAAATAACCCATGTAACCCCGAATTTGCGTCCGAAATAATATCTTACAAAAAAAAAAATCATAAAAAAATGGCACGTGGTATACATTACAAAGCTATTTAACATACACAAGGATAAGCCCGCCATGAAATCAGACAAGTCAACAAATGGTAGTTAGACAAACAAAATACATAAATTTTTTAAATTAATTTTTAAAACGTATGTACAACTTACCAATAGAATGCGGCTCTCGACACATGACCAGTCCACCTAGCAACTGGACAAGCACTGGCAACCGCCAGACGAAATGTATTGGTGGTGGCGGTACTACCAACTATAAAATATTTTGAGATATTCCCAAATTACCCTGGAATTCTCAATTAACTTCGTTTTACGGTACCACTACACATGATTTTCTTTACAACTCAGATATTTCTTTTGGTTTTCGAGATATTAAATTGGTGAGGTTTAAACACAACAGCCTGTAGAAACAGTAAATTGCTTTTTATTATTATAAATTTTATACCCGGTATTTTTTTCATTAATACACTTAAGATCTTCAAGTTAAAATCATTCGTTTGGGTTATAATACAAAAACTGGAAGTTATAGAAAAATATAGCGTTCAATAATGAATATTATAACAAAATTCATATTATGTACTTAAAAAAATTCACAAGTACTTAAAAAAAAAATTATTTACATTACAAAAAAAATTAGATTAGAACAGTGTGGCAGAAACCGCAACTCAAAATAAAATATGGTTGATCCGCTGCTAGTGTGTTACAGGATTAAGATTTCTTCTTCAAAATCGACCTTTTTTATATCTATAGCGTTTAATAAAATTAGAAAAGGTTCCCCGATATTTCGTGTACATGAAACTATCACATGTTCTTGAGATTAAAATAAGAAGTTTTAACAACACCTGCCTTTTATTCGGATAAAGTAGTTGCTTCGCTTAGCCGGTAGAAGGTGCTAAATTTAATGGAAACAAATCATACTTTTCCTAAATCGCTCTGTCCGTCGTCGTCATCCTCATCGTCATCATTGATTGTAATCGATTATAGTTTCATTATCTACCTTAATTTCAAGATTCAGTCAGCTCAAAGTACTTTTGGAAATTTTGCTTTAGCCGTTTACATGACAAACGTATTTCTCATCATAAAATAATCACTCTGTACACGGAATATTGAGACGCCCTGTATAAAATGAACAGTATCGCAGTCTTAACGTCAAATTTACTATGTACGTATCTCGAAAATATAAAGTTACTCATTATCGAAGTATTAAAACAGTAATGGCGCGAAACGAATAAATTCGTTCTAGAATAATTGGGGGGTGTCTAGAAAGACTACGCCTACGTTTCTCTAAATTAGAGCAATAAGGAGTAAAACAAACAGTCATATTCATTTATGATGTAAAGTATCCGTATAATATGTGACATCACACAAATACGCTACACAAATTACGTTTCCATTCATACGTAATATCGTGGATTGTCTACATGATGTCAGCAAACTAATAATAGTTGCTTATAATGGAAGGTCGGTCGGCTGCAGAACAGAACTTGTCTGTCTTTGTAACGATAACCTAAGTAACATTTTCGTACCGATAACAGTTTAACCACATGCGCTTTGATCCGTTCACCGCACAAGTTATTATCAATTATAGGTCTTGAATAAGTTCACGATAATATCAGGTTCACCTGGTTGTGTAGCGCGGATTTTGTGTATATTATAGTTATTAGTTTTACCAAAATTTTGTTTTGGGACTAGAGATTTGTTATTTAAAATTGTGATCCATGGTGTGCTCCAAAATGTAACAGCTTCATGGATTTATTGGTAAAGTAAATCGATACTATTATTATTGTTATTAATTAATGGTGTAATACAGGGTGGTCTAGATTTTAATAGACAAACTTCGGGAAACTACTAAACAACAGTAATTAACATCACTTTGCTCTATGAACATAGGCGCAGAAAGCCACCGTTTATGAGATACAGGGCGTTGAAATTAACAAAAACTTTTTTTAAATATCTGGAAAACGGCTTTATCAAATTTATCCAAATTTGGTACACATTTTTTTTCAAATATTTACCCTAGTTTTGTATGCACATAGTCCAAATTCAAAGACCAGTGGCGGAGAAACAAGGATGTTGTTTACTTATTTAAAGTAAAACTTCTACGCCACTGAATTAATTGGTAATATGAATACATTTTATAATAGTCTGAAACATTCCGGATGAAATAACATTCTTTTATTTTTATCGAAAAGTGAATGGTTTACGAGTTGTGAGACATATTAATCAAGTAAACAAAGCGTTGAAATGGGGAAAAATAAAACACATTTGGGTGGTCCAGATTTTAATAGACAAACTTCGGGAAAGTTTTAAATAACAAAAATTAACCACTTTGCTCTATGAACATAGACGCAGAAATCTACCGTTTATGAGATACAGGGCGTTGAAATTAACAAAAATAAACAAATTTTTTTAAATATCTGGAAAACCGCATCATAAATATGTCTCATAATTCTTAAACCATTCACTTTTCGACAAATATAAAAATGTGTTTTTTCATCCGGAATGTGTCGGACCGTTGTAAAATGTATCGTATTACCAATTCATTCAGTGGCATAAAAGTTTTACTTTAAATAAGGAAACGATATCATTGTTTCTCCGCCACTGGTTTTTGAATTTGGACTGTGTGCATTCAGAACTAGGACAAATATTTGAAAAAAAGTTTGTACCAAATTTGGATAAATTTGATGAAATGATTATCCAGATATTTAAAAAAATTGTTTTACTTTTGTTAATTTCAACGCCCTGTATCTCACAAATGGTGGCTTTCTGTGCCTATGTTCATTGAGCAAAGTGATGTTAATTTTTGTTGTTTAGTACTCTCTCGAAGTTTGTCTATTAAAAATCTGGACCACCCAAATTCGTTTTATTTTTCCCTATTTCAACTCTTTATTTACTTGGATAATAATCTCATAACTCGTAAACCATTCACTTTTTGACAAAAATAAAAGAATGTTTTTTCATCCGGAATACTTCAGACAGTTATAAAACGTATTCATATTACCAATTAATTCAGTGGCGTAGAAGTTTTACACTAAATAAGGAAACAACGTCCTTGTTTCTCCGTCACTGGTTTTTGGATTTGGACTGTGTGCATACAGCACTAGGAGAAATATTCGAAAAAAAATGTGTACCAAATTTGGATAAATTTGATGGAGAGGTTTTCCAGATATTTAAAAAAATTGTTTTATTTTTGATAATTTCAACGCCCTGTATCTCATAAACGGTGGCTTTCTGCCCCTATGTTCATAGAACAAAGTGATGTTAATTTTTGTTGTTTAGTACTTTCCCGAGGTTTGTCTATTAAAATCTGGACCACCCTGTATAAACCGCATAATAATTTTACGTGTTTTTAATTATGAACCTGACGAATTTTTTATACATTGATCATTCTTTAATACGATAATTTTCTTCTGTAACTACAGACAATTTATTGCAATGGGATCTATACCATTTTTAGAAGATTTTTTTTATCACCTAGAAAGAAAATTTCGAACGAGTTGTGAAATAAAAAAAATTAAAATAGGTGTAGCCGACCCTTATATATATTTTTTCTTAATAGATGCAAATAGGCGTTTTTTGTTTTCCTCAAAATAAAATTTTCTTTGTATTATATTTATTTAAATTTTAATTTGATACATTTTGTATAATTGGTGAATTTATTACACACGTAGTGATACAGTCAACTGCTAAATATCAAACGTAAGTAAATACTTTATCGTGTGCATGCTGCATATATCGGTACATTCGAGAGAATGAATGCCTTCACCTGTCAAATATTCGTGAAAATTTTACAGAATATACACGACTATTGCTGCAATGATCACACACTCCTTAAATGTTTATTTTTAACATCCCGTTTGATTATAAAAGACAAAAGTCACACAAACGCAAATAAATATTTTTTAGGTTAATCGTATCCTTAATAATATATTAGCTGACAAATTCTTTGGTATTAAGATAACAAATATAAATCCTACATTACAAGGTGTTTGGAAAAGTTGGTACAAAATTTAAGGGGGTGAAAGTAGAGCCAAAAATAGCAAAAAAAGTTCCTAGTTCCTATAAACATTGGTCCTCCGGAGCACCATTACTGAGATATGATCCTCCAAAGGGGTCTTATCATTTGGATATTTTTTAAAATAACTTTCTGATTAAGATAACGGAATAAATATTGTAGGTAATAATTATACCATAAGTTTCATCAAAATCGGTTATAAATAAATATAGTTTTGTAACTACTCTTAACAGAAATATTTCGAATTTTTTTATTCCTTTGAATTATCAAGCAAATAATATTGTTTTTTAATGAATTCGACTTTTTTGAAGAAAAAATGTCTACTTTTTTTTCGAATTCTGTGTAGTTTAGTCAGAAATAATTATTTTTTAAATAATGTATGACTCAGAACAATAACTTTTTTTTAACATTTTCACATAGTAGGCATCTTTTATAGTGTCAGTTTCATTGTAATGACACTAATGATTGTCAGTTTCGAGTGCTATGATTTAAATTCTTGTTTCTTTATTTTCTTAGTTGTTATCTTTGTGCTCGAATTTACATTTCTTTCGATTTTTTTACAACCATCCACCATCATGCTTTTACTAACCGTGAATATACCGATATGCATTTTATTTATGGTTTCTGTAATGGAAATAGTCTGGCGGCTCAAAAAGAGTATCGGCATATTCACGGTTAGTAAAAGCATGATGGTTGTAAAAAAACCGAATGAAATGCACAGTTGAGCACAAAGATCACAATAATTAAGAAAATAAAGAAACATGAGAATTTAATCATAGCACGCGAAAGTGACAATTATTAGTATTATTACAATGAAACTGTCACTATGAAAGATGCCTACTATGTGAAAATGTTAAAAAAGTTACTATTCTGAGGTATACATTATTTAAAAAATAATTATTTCTGATTAAACTACACAGAATTCGAAAAAAAATAGATACATTTTTTCTTCAAAAACCAATTCGTTAAAAAAAATAATATTTGCTTGATAATTCAAAAGAATAAAAAAAAATCGAAAAATGTCTGTTAACAGTAATTACAAAACTATACTTACTTATTTATAACCGATTTTGATGAAACTCATGGTAGTTCTTAATCTTAATCAGAAAGAAAGGTATTTTAAAAAATATCCAAATGATAAGACCCCTTTGGACGGCTATATCGCGGTAACGGTACTCCGGAGGACCAATGTTTATAGGAACTTTTTTTACTATTTTTGGTTCTACTTTCACCCCCTTAAATTTTGTAACACCTTTTCTAAACACCCTGTATAACGTTTCGATTTATTTTAAAGTAGTAGACTAGTACATATACTCGTATATTGTAATTGCAGTAAATTGGTATAATTTACATCATCATACACATAAGCATCAAAAAGAAATGTATGTGTAGCACGTGCTCGTTTTTCAAGATCTATGGAGATCTCGGTTATCTTAAGCGATACAAGGTCTGTTAAATTATGGCATTGCGAAATTTGATGAAAAAATAACATGAGGAAGAGAGATTTGACTTTTTTCGATATAAAGTTATCGACGAAAATCTGAGGATTTTTATTTTTATTTTTTTAAATGAATACGGAAAGAGATGTACTTTCAAACATTAGTAAGACACTTTTTTGTGAAGAAATCCAATATACAGGGTGTTACAAATTAGTAGGTTAAACCGTTAACCACATGAGGAGCAGACTTTCTATTTGCATTTTGTCAATTATTTTCAACCAAAGGTGGCGCGACAGACAAACTATGAAGATAGGGCCACCATTTTATGTAGAAAAACATATACTAAAAGCATTTTGTCCCATGTAAAATAAATCCTTGAAAGGCAAACTAGTTGCAGTTTGTCATTTGAATGTGGACTAATCGCTATTTGATTGTCGCTGCCGATCAAATGTAGTGTTGTGTTCCAATTATCGTTGTTTTTATTGAAAAGTAATGAATATAACTAAAGGGAAGCATGTGGTTGGCGATGTTGACCGCGGTAGAAACAGAAAAAGAAATACCACGGCAAAAGAGCGTGAAAGTGAAATTTTAAATAATAATAATATTAATAATAATAATAATAATAATAATAATAATAATAATAATAATAATAATAATAATAATAATGATAATGATAATGATAATGATAATCATAACGATAACGATAACGATAACGATAACGATAACGATAATGATAATAATAATAATAATATTTTCCATTTATAAATACAAAGTAAAAGTAAAACATATAATTAGTTCTACTGGTATTGAAATAGTAGGAAAACCTCTAGGCTGTGCTCAAGCAGATAGATGTGCTCCATCAACTCGATGTGATGCACTTACCTAGTATATCAGATAGATATTTACAGTAAAACATAGCCTAATGTAAGTAATTAACTAACTAATTAAAATATTACAACTGTAGTAGCCAAGAGAACAGAGGGGAAAAAAACAACAAATAAGAAAAACAATTTGGCAATATAAGATTACCTAAAATTAGCAAAATTATATGATTCTCACTGATTATTAAATAAGTATTCTGAAACTTTGGTTTTAAAATTCTTTGAAGACAATGGTTTAAAGTCATCTAACAGTGCGTTGTAAAGTTTTGAGATGTTATAAGTAAATGATCGTTCGTAGAAACTAGTTTTATGTGAAGGTGGTGTTATAAAATGCTTATTTCTTTCTGTTTATATTATGTACATCAGTACGAAAGCGAATTTTATGGTGTTATAAAATGCTTATTTCTAATGTTTATCGAAAGC